TCCACCTACACAACACCTCCACCTACACAAAACCTCCACCTACACAAAACCTCCACCTTTAACGATGGTGCCGAGAGCTGCCTCAGGGTCGCCCCTGCTGGCAGACAGCGGTACTTTACATAGAGCCTCATATTTTACATAGAGCCTTTTTTTTTTTTGAGATTGAGTGTCACTCTGTCACCCAGGCTAGAGTGCAGTGGTATGATTTCCGCTCACTGCAACCTCCACCTCTTAGTTCAAGTGATTCTCCTGCCTCAGTCTCCCAAGTAGCTGGGAGCCACCATGCCTGGCTAATTTTTGTATTTTTAGTAGAGATGGGGTTTCACCATATTGGTCAGGCTGGTCTGTAACTCCTGACCTCATGATCTGCCTGTCTTGGCCTCCCAAAGTGCTGGGATTCCAGGCGTGAGCCACCGCACCAGGCCAGCCTAATATATTTTTCCTTGTTCATTTTTATGGTTGTTTTCTTTTTTGGAGAATTTTGTAATTTCCTAGTTGAGGTAGTAATAAAAAGCTTCCTTTGTGCAGAAATTTATTTATTTATTTATTTTTGAGACAGAGTCTCAGTCATCCAGGCTGGAGTGCAGTTGCTCACTGCAACCTCTGCCTTCTGAGTTCAAGTAACTGTCCTGCCTCAGCACCCCCAGTAGCTAGGACTACAGATGTGTACCACCACACTTGGCTAATTTTTGTTATTTTTAGTAAAGACCCCTGTTGACCATGGTGACCCCTGTTCACCATGTTGACCAGGCTGGTCTCGAACTCCTGGCCACAAGTGATCTGCCCACCTCAGCCTCCCAAAACACTGGAATTACAGCCATGAGCAACTAGACCCAGCTCTTTTTTTTCAGGGGACTTTTTTTTTTTTAAAGTAAGTAACAGAAGTGAAATGCATATGTCAACGAACACAAGAAGGTGGGTCCAGAATGAAGTCGGGAAACTATAGTGGAAATAAAACCAGATTTGAGGTCAGAGAACTGCAATAGGCTCTTCTTAACTGAGAGTTGCTTCCTTAGCTATAAAATAGAGATAACGCAAGAGCAGAAATAAGGTATGCAAGGTAGCCACACTCGGGACCATAAGTGCCTGGCTTAGGATCACGTGCACTGTGGGGAAAGATGTTTTCTTCATTATGGCCCTTGACAGCAGGACTGGGGAGCACTTGCCCTCCAGAGCCTGGGGGGATGGGCGTGAGATCTCCGGTGAGTCAGACAGAGTCCACACTGCAGGCCTGAAGCTGCTGTCCTCAGGAATTCTGCTGGCAAGGCCGGCCCGTGGCTGGCATCCAGAAACCCAGATTTCAGGAGGGTCCCCACCATCCCCTAGGTGATGAGAGTCGTTCACTGGGCCGGAATTATTTGTACAGACACGTCTCCTGCTCAGCACCTGCTTTCCTTCCCAGGGTCTAGAATTTTGGTACCTGCCAAAATTGACCCCTAGTGATTGACCCCTAGTGAAACACCCTGGGCACTGAAATTCTGACAGGCTTCCCTGCTAGACAGCATCGCCTACACGTTGCCACAACTCGTGGCCAAAGATGTTAGGTGCACCTGTGCGACTCCCCCTGGGAGAAAGCTCTGGAAGCTCCAGCCTGGTTGTCACCGACTTCACCCTAGGTGCTTTCTCCCTTTGCTAATTTTGCTTTGAATTTTGTCGTTATCCTAAGTCTTAGCTGTGATACCACCATAAGCAGAGTCCTGGGAGTCCCCTGTCCCCATGCCCTCCCCCAGTTTCAGGAGCAGAAAAGTGGCCGCATGGAAGCAGCTTCCAACACGCATTCGGTTTTCAAGGCTAATGGTTTCCAACAGGCAGCAAGCGGCTTTCACCATCCCTCTCCCCAATGTGCCCAGCTCAAAACACAAAGAAACAAAGCCCACTTCCTCTCCCTGTGTGCCTCAAGCTGATCTGGAGGCAGAGGTGGAGGCAGCAGCCACTGTGGCTGCAGCAGAACAGCTGTTTGCCTCTCCCTGGGCTCCCAAACTTAACCCCATCTTTCTTGATGTGAGGCAGGGGTGTTGTGGGGGAGAACATCTGTGCCCTGAGAGGAAAGTGATGAGAGCACAGAGGGGACCGTGTTCATGGTGGAATGATGTGGAAGGGCAAGAGAGGTCGGAGGAGGAATTAACCAAGAAGAGAGGGAAGGCAGAGAGCCGGGGCTAGGGCAGGGGCTGAGGGGGTCTAGCCAGTGCTGAAGGAGGTCTGGAGGGACGAAGAAAAACGGTGCAGAACAGCATCCGCAGTGGCGCTTCGGGAGGAGCCTGAGGCGCACAGCAACGGGGCAAACGCACGGAGCTTCCTCAGACAACAAAAACCAGAACTGCCATCGGAGCAGCAAGCCCGCTGCCGGGACCACCCAGAGGAAATGAAATCAGTGTGACAAACAGCCAGGGGCACTCCCATGTACACTGCGGCCAAGATACGGAACCGAGTGAAGTGTCCGTCAGTGAATGAATGGGCACAGCAAAGGTGGGGCACACAGTGGGGTATGCCCAGCGTTTAAGAAGATGACATCCGGCCGGGCAAGGCGGCTCACGCCTGTCATCCCAGCACTGTGGGAGGCTGAGGCGGGCAGATCACTTGAGGCCAGGAGTTTCAGACCAGCTTGGCCAAGGTAATGAAACCCCATCTCTACCAAAAATACAAAAATTAGCCGGGTGTGGTGGTGCACACCTTTAATCTCAGCTACTCGGGAGGCTGAGGCAGGAGAGTTGCTTGAACCCAGGAGGCGGAGGTTGCGGTGAGCCGAGATCATGCCACTACACTCCAGCCTGTGCAACAGAGTGAGAGTCTGTCAAAAAATAAAAAAAAATAAAAACAGGGAAATCCTGTCATTTGTGACATGACAAACCTGGAGGACACTACGCTAAGTAAAACAGGCTAGGCATAGAAAGACAAATACTGCATGATCTCACCTGTATGTGGAATCTGAAAAAGTTGAATTCAGGCTGGGCACGGTGGCTTACGCCTATAATCCCAGCACTTTGGGAGGCCAAGGTAGGTGGATCACCTGAGGTCAGGAGTTCGAGACCAGCCTGGCCAACGTGGCAAAACCCAATCTCTAATAAAAATACAAAAATTAGCCAGGTGTGGTGGTGCATACCCGTAATCCCAGCTACTTGGGAGGCTGAGGCAGGGGAGTTGATTGAACCCGGGAGGAGGAGGTTGCAGTGAGCAGAGATCGAGCCACTGTACTCCAGCCTGGGTGACCAGAGTGAGACTCCATCTCAAAAAAAAAAAGAAAGTTGAATTCATGGAAGTAGAGGGTAGAGAATACCGGTTACCAGGGGCTGGGAAGGCAGGCAGGCGGCGGGGGGGTCGCTTAAAGGAGACAGAATTTCAGTAGGGAGGAATAAGTTCAGATCTCCTGTACAATAGAGCAACAGTCGCCGAACTGCACTGTACAACACCACACGGTAACTGCAGTGAACAGCCATGTCCTGTATACTTCGAATTTGCTGAGCGTGGATTGTAAATGTTCTCACCACTAACACATGGTCAGTACGTGGAGTGATGCCTATGTTAACTGGCTTACTTAGGCATTCCACAATATATACACACATCATAACATCACATTGTACACCTCAAAAATACACAGCTATTCTTTTTCAATTTAGAAAATTAATGTTGGATGGGAACAGTGGCTCATGCCTGTAATCCCAGCACTTTGGGAGGCCTAGACAGGCAGATCGCTTGTGTCCAGGAGTTCAAGAGCAGACTGGGCCACATGGCGAAACTGCATCTCCACAAAAGATATAAAAATTAGCCAGGCGTGGTGGCACATGTCTGTAGTCCCAGCTACCAGGCAGGGTGAGAAGGGAGGATCACCTGAGCCCAGCGAGATCAAGGCTGCAGTGAGCCATGATCATGCCACTGCACTCCAGCCTGGGCAACAGAGTGAGACCCTGTCTCAAAAAAAAAAAATGAATTTTATTAAAGGCCTGTGAAAGAGACCACAAGTGCTCACCCAGGAAACAGAAAACACACAGATTTCTGAATCAATGGTAGCAGCCACCAAGTCCAACTGGGCATATTTTACAGAGACCAGAGGTGCCGAGAAAAGAGGCCACGGGCTGAGGGCATGTCCCTGGGAGGGCCACATGTCCAGCTCCCTGCCTGTAGACAGAACTTCACACGGGACAAATTCCCTGCGTGATTTATCTGCAAGATGTTCCAGGTTCTCCCTAAAGATCTTTATGGTATCTTGACACATCCAGAGGGCGCCTCCAGCTCACATGTAGGAGGCACCCCAGCTGATAAGTTCTAATTAATTTACTGTCTTGGGGCTCACTGATGGAAAGGGATCATAAAACCCTTGAACTATGGATTCGGGTTAAAGCAAGGACCTTGGGTGCCTCGAGAAGCCAGGCTTCCCACCACCCCAGCCCACAGCGGCTCTGTGCTTGCGGGGAGAGGAGGCAGCCAGGTGTGCCCCAACCAGGACCCACCCGCCCCCCGCAGAGGATGGCAGCGGCTCACCGGGTGGATGTCCAGGAACAAGGAGTGTGCCTCCTGGTTAGGGTGCAGGCCAGTCACTGCTTCGGCCAGGACCGGGTCGGCGTAGAGGAAGTGAGGATGGGAGAGAAACAAGGGGGCACCTGGAAGGCAGAGGGGCAGGGAGGGGCATGAGGAGAGGACAGCGCATTGGCAAGCCCCGCCAGGCTGGAGGTCTGCAAAGAACTGTGGTCCACGGAGCACCCCCGTGGTGATGACAAGACAACCAGGCAAGGATGCTCCCTTCCTCCATTCTGTAAAGAGCCCGGGCCCTAAGTTGAGGACCAGGCTCTGCACCAGAGACGGGGGGAGGCAGGAGCCACTGATTCCGGCGGGAGAAACCAAAGGAAGGCAGAGGCCTCTCACAGAAGCAGGAGGAGGCCTGGGCAGCGTGTTCCGGGTGGGAGGGATGGCAGAAGAGCGCAGGGAGGGGAGAGGCACGGAGCACGTGGGAGCTAGGGAGGCAGGGATGGAAAAGACGATGCCAGATTTGGACTTGGGTGTGGGGAGGGTGTCTCCAGCACAAGCCAGGCAGCCCACGCTGCCCTCTGCAGGCCACGCAGCAACAATCGGAGCTCAGGTGTGTGCACCTGCGGCCAGGTCTCCCACACCTGCTACAAACGTGAGGTCAGCCAAACCAGGCAGACACCAGCTCACCTGGGGGACGAGTTAACAAGGAACAGGGAGCGGGCCTCCCTTCAAAGCTCACCCCTGTAATCCCAACACCGTGGGAGACCTCGGCAGGCAGATCACTTGTGCCCAGGAATTGGAGGCCAGTCTGGGCAACGTGGCAAGACCCCATCACTACAAAAAAATACAAAAATTAGCCTGGCATGGTGGCGCGTGCATACAGTCCCAGCTACTCAGGAGGCTGAGGCGGGAGAATCACTTGAGCCTCGGGGGTTGAGGCTGCAGTGAGCCGTGATTGTGCCACAGAACTCCAGCCTGGGCAATAGAGCAAGATCCTGTCTCAAAAGAAAAAAAAATTTAAAAAGCTCACAAGGACCCAGACCTTGCTAATCCACAAAAAGAGCCGACAGGTGGTGACAAGGGGCTGGGGAAGGGGGCGGGGGTGATCAGCTGATGAGTCTGGGTCTCCTTTTGGGGTGACCGAAATGTTCTGGAGTGAAATACAGGTGACGGCTGCACAACCTTTTGACTGGGCTAAATGCCACCGAGTCCATAAAATCGTTAATTTTATGTTACATGACTTGTGCCTCAGTAAGAAAGAAAAACAAAACAAACAAAAAAAACCAAATCAAACTCACAAGTCTCCTTCCCACAAAGCACCAGCCCTCCCTCACTGCCGGCCAGGGGACCCGCAGCCACGCTCCGGTGCGTCTCACCTCACCCTCTGAAGTATCTCGGCTTTTCTTAGCAAAGCCAGGCACTGGTGTGAAATAAAAGCTGGGATTTCGATCCATGCCGGGCCTCCTCTTTCTCAGTCTCTGTGCATCCCTGCCCTTAAGGTTTCTCAAGCACCATTCATCCCAGAACCTCTTCAGTTTCATCACATCTGAACGCCCCCTGCCCTGTTGTATGATGTGCCGCTCTGAACCAACTGCCACTGCTGTCCTTCGATCTCTGTATTTTAAAGGGAAGCTTTACAGCTGTGCCATTCCTGGCAAACACTTGCCGCAATTAGAAAGTACATATTTGAGCCAGGTGCGGTGGCTCACACCTGTGACCCCAGCACTTTGGGAGGCTGAGGTGGGCAGATCACCTGAGGTCAGAAGTTCAAGACCAACCTGGGCAACATGGTGAGACCCCCCCCATCTCTACTAAAAATACAAATATTAGCCAGGCATGGTACGCGCCTGTAACCCCAGCTACTTGGGAGGCTGAGGAAGGAGAATTGCTTGAATTCGGGAGGCTTCAGAGTTGCAGTGAGGTGAGATCGCACCACTGCACTCCAGCCTGGATGACAGTGTGTGGAGATTGCAGTGAGCCAAGATCGTGCCACTGCACTCCAGCCTTGGCAACAGAGAGAGAGTGTGTCCAGAAAAAGGAAGGAAGGGAGGGAGGGAGGGAAAATACTTGAATAAATACCATGCAAAATAATGAATGTTTTAAGTTCTAACTAGAACCTGTTACTGCACAAAGCTTTAGCTGGACGCCCTGGTCTTTTTCTGTTTAAAAAAACAAACAAAAAAAAATTGATGAGTGTGGAAGGGTCCTGGAGCCCTCTCAGCACCAACAGAGACCTTCTCCTGCAGGTGATGGCAAGCAGAGAAAGAGGATGGGCCCAGAAGCTCCCTCTCACCTCCTTGGACCTTCTGAAGCCATCTCAAGGACATGCAGGGACAATGTCCTCCACAATTTGGAAAACGCTGCCTCTCATCCTCCCATCTCAGGCAAAAGAGCCAGCTGGGCATATGACACAAGCCCTTTTGCCCAAGAGGGCACACACAAGCACTGCACCCCACAAGTGGAAACACTCTCATGGCCTCCTGCCGAGGAGACAGCCATGGAGCCAGGCCCTGGAGGAATCTCAAGCAAGCCCTAGCCTACCCACAGTCCCAGGTGGAGACCGAGGTGGGATGGGGCAACGTGCCAGGCCCTGCCCTTGCTTCAGAGGGCAAGCCTGCACGGGCCTGCGCACATGTTTCTTCCAATTTTATTACCAAACACGCCGAGAGAGATATTCCTGGCAGTAAGTGGTAATTAATTTATAGCTTTATGGCATATCTAGCCAGACATAATTGTCCAGAATTGCCACAGAAGATAATTAGTTGGCTCTATGAGGCAAGCTGGAAGCCCTTGTGCAGGAGGGAGGTATGAGATGAGGGAGGTGTCCGAGTCCAGCAGATTTCAAGGCCCAGAAAGGCAAAGGCATGGGTACCTTTACTCTTTAGATAAAATGCCACAGAAACACGGACATGGGTGCAAATGACACGTGTGCACCACGGTATGGTCAAAAACAGGAACTCGGATGCCCAGGAGCAACGGAAGGAGTGAGAGGATGGAGGTGGCGCCCAGGATGGAACACCACGAAGCAATGAGACGTGCTGCAACCGTCACAACGTCACGGACGAATCACAGCCCGGAGCAACAGGAATCTAGCTTTTGGGTCCATTCACATGGAGATGCAAACCAGCTGAGCTCCGAGGGTGGCCAGCAAGGCAGTGGGAGGAGTGTGAGCAGCGTCCGGCCTGTAGTGTTCTGTTTCTCAGTCAGGGTGCTGGCCACGTGGTGCGTTGACTTTTGTGAAGTTTCAAACTATGCATGTCAGCCAGGTGCAGCGGCTCATGCCTGTAATCCCAGCACTTTGGGTGGGAGGATCGCTTGAGCCCAGGACTTCAAGACTAGCCTGGGCAATGTGGTGAGACCCTGTCTCTACAAAAAATTTAAAAATTAGCTGGGCATAGTAGCAAGCGCCTGTAGTCCCAACTACTTGGGACGCTGGGGTGGGAGGATCAATCAGGTGATGGAGATCAGGCTGCAGTGAGCCGTGATGATACCACTCACTCCAGCCTGGGCAACGGAGTGAGACCCTGGCTCAAAAAAACAAAGCAAAACACCCCCAAAACTGCATGAGTCATCTGGGAACGTCTCTGTGTCTGTGTATATTTTATTTACACTAACCCCAGGCAAGACGGCAAAACCCCACCTCTACAAAAAAAAAATTAAAAATAAAATAAATTAGCCAGATGTGGTGGCGTGGACCCGTGCTCTCAGCTACCTGGGAGGCTAAGGTGGGAGAATCATCGAGCCCAGGAGGTCGAGGCTGCCGTGAGCTGTGATTGTACCACCGCACTTGAGCGTGGGCAACAGAGTGAAACCCTGTCTCAAAAATATAAGTAAATAAAAGAAAAAAACGTTATTTAAATAAATATTTTAAAATTCCCTTGCGCTTTTGAAAGTCCTTTGGCAGATGTGCCAACAGAAGGCAGGGCACACCTCATCCCAAGCCCTTGGAAGGGATGGGGTGTCGTTTCTCCCCCTTCTTCTGGGCCCCACGCCCCTGCTTTCCCTACTTTCATTCAGCCTTGCGCTTCCAGTGGGGCCAGCCCACCCAGGGAGCCAGCTGAGCATGTGACACGAGCCTGGCCAATCAGCATAGTCCACCTCAGCTCCCGTGACTGGTTCACAGCTGGGCATGGGTGCCAGGCGGACCAATTAGAGCAAACCCTGGGACTGGTGCTGGACTGAAGGAAACACAGGTGGCCCACTTTCTGCAGGACTCGGAGCCAGGTGGAGGTGAGCCTGGAGCCTCCACAGGCAGCCAGGAGGGAGAGCTTGCCTGCCAGCAAAGCCAGTCCAGCAGAAAAGTGAGCTGGGACTTGGCAGGGGCAACTTCCAGGCAACATCTAAGTTCTGGACTTGTGCCTAATGCAGGGATCTGCCCTGGGATTTTTCATTACGCAAACCAAGAAGTGCCCTTTTGGTCTAAATCAAGTGGAGTCCAGCATCTGCCACTTGCCACCATTGCTGGAACACACCTCCTATCAGGCAGAATCTCAGTCTTAAGTGTAGAAATCCCCACCAACACCAGCAAAGAAAGAATGAAGCAAACAGAGGCCAATGCCCACGTGGGCCAGACAGGACCAGGAGATAGCTCCAAACCATTCGCTCACAGGGTGCTCCATTCCGCCGGAAATGGGGAAAACCGTGCGATCTGTTGACAGTCCTGCCTCCTGATCCCTGCTGAGACCAGTCCTCTAGAGTCGCCATCTCCAGCTGCAGGTTGAGGCTTCAACCAAAAAAGGCTCCCAAAAGGTAAGATGCAGTCAAACAGAAGCTCGGCTTCCAGTCCCACCAACCCTGAGACCTTGGTCACATCCAGCCTCAAGCCCCCATTTCCTAAGTACAGAACACACTCACCATCCCCATATTCAAATACTGTATGAGTATCCATTAAATGCAGGCCACAATTCTAGAAGCTAAGAATAAAACCAAGAGCTTGTCATGCCTACAAGGATGACAGTAAATGCAAGAGGTAGCCAATGAAGAAGATGAAATCCACAGTCCCTGATTTCGGGAAGCAGTGAGCACCTAGAAGGCAAGAAAAGGAAGCCATAGGGAGCAGCAGGTGGGAGGGGGCAACTTTAGAACAGGAAATCAGAGGAGGCCTCCCAGAGGAGGTGGCATTTGCATGCAGACCAAGAGAAGGTGAGTGTTGATCTGCTCAGAAGTCTAGACAAAGAGCACTCCAAGCAGGGGAAGCGGCCCATGCAAAGGCCCTGAGGCAGCACTGACCTCGATCGACACAGGGAGAAGGCACCAAGGCTGAAGAATAATGAACGGGGATGTGTGGGGAGAAATGGAGTCAGAGAGGCCAGCGGGGGCTGGATGCTTCCGAGAGGCCAGGGCAGGACGGGGGCTGGATCTTTCAGAGATGCCAGGGTGGGACGGGGGCTGGATCCTGTGGGGCCCAGGGCCACGGTGGGGAGTTTGGACCTCACTATGAATGCAGAAAAAGCTGCCGGACATTTTAAGAGTACAGTGGCAATCTGCATTTTTTTTTTTTTTTTTTTGAGATGGGTCTTGCTCTGTCGCCTAGGCTGGAGTGCAGTGGTGTGATCATAGCTCACGCAGCCTTGACCTCTGGGCTTAAGCTCCCATCCCAGCCTTCCACATAGCTATACTACAGGCAGGCACTGCCATGCCTAGCTCATTTTTTGTTTTTGTTTTTTTCGGTAGAGAGAGGTCTTGCTGTGTTGCCCAGGCTGGTCTTGAACTCTTGGCTTCCCACCCACCTCGGCCTCCCGCAGAACTGTGATTACAGGCGTGAGCCACCACACTGACCTGTGTTGCTAAAAGATCCTCTGCTGCTGTTGGATGCTACAGAGCTTCCTGTGATGACGGAAATGTTCTCTATCTGCGCTATCCAAGATGGTAGCCGCTAGACACACATGGCTTATGAGCATTTAACATATGGCCAGTGCAACCAAGGAACTGCCTTTTAATTTGATTTTGCTTGAATCAATTTCAATTTAAACAGTTGCACACGGCCAGCAGTGACCACACTGGATGGTCTAGAAGATGGACGGTAAAGTGGCAACGCTGCACTGCAGGGTGAGCTATCGAAAGGACTGGACCACCAGGAAGGACGTGTCCGTGGCCTGGATGATGCAGCGGGGGCTGGGAGGGTGAGAGAGAGGGAGGAGTGAGCACTCAACCTGGAGATAACGCCATCTGGGCCTGCTGATGAACTGGAAGAGCTGGGTGAGGACAGGGAATCCAACTGACACCCAAGGGTCCAGACTGAGCAACTGGAGGCGGGGGCACCTCGGGGCCTGGCACACAACTGAGATGCACCAACGATGCCAGGAAACAGCATGCCAGCACCAGTCCCCCCATCTGCCCGGCCACTCCACACCGCGGAACGAGAGGATGTTACGCAACACACGGACCCTCGCCAGCCTCTTTCCATCTCAGAATGGGGTGAAGGGTCCCTCCCACCAAGCCTCACTTTCAAGTTCCAAATCACGGTGTGGGAGGGCAGAGAAATGGCCCCCAAGACATATCCATGCTCTAAGCCCCAGAGTCCACGGCTATGTTAGGTCACAGGGCAAAAGGGCACTGGACCTGCTCAGCAGCTGCCTTGAAGGTCAGGACGCTGGGCCGGGCACAGTGGCTCCTACCTGTAATCCTACTGCTTTAACAGGCAGAGCAGGTGGATCACCTGAGGCCAGGCATTTGAGACCAGCATGGGTAACCTGGTGAGACAACAGCTCTACAAAAAGTTTACAAAAATAATTAGCTAGGTATCACGGCTCACACCTGTGGTCCCAGCAACTCAGGAGGCTGAGGCAGGAGGATCACTTGAGCTGGTGAGGTAGAGGCTGCAGTGAGCTATAACTGCACCACTATACTCCAGCCCCAGGCTACAGAGTGATACCTTGTCTCACAAAATAAAAATAGGCCAGGCTCGGTCGCGCGCACCTGTAATCCCAGCACTTTGGGAGGCCAAGTCAGGTGAATCGCTTGAGGTCAGGAGTTCAAGACCAGCTTGGGCAACATGGTGAAACCCCCATCTCTACCAAAAATACAAAGAATTAGCCAAGTGTGGTGGCGCATGCCTGTGGTCCCAGCTACTCGGGAGGCTGAGGTGGGAGGATCACTTGAGCCTGGGTGGTGGAGGTTGCAATGAGCTGAAATGGCACCACTGCACTACAACCTGGGTGACAGACTGAGACTCTGTCTCAAAAAAAATAATAATTAAAAATAAACAAGATTGGGAGATTGTCCTGGGGTTTCCAGGAGAGCATGATGTGGTCTAAAGGGTCCTTAGGACTGGAAGAGGGGGCAGAGAAAGAGATTCGAGGACACGGTGGATCAGGAGGATGCTGTGCTGTCGGCCTCAAAGGTGGAGGAAGGGCCCGGGACCCAAGAAACCCACAGGGGCCTCTAGAAGCCGGAAAAGGCAGATCCAGATTCTCAGAGCCTCCAGAAGGAACGCAGCCTCCTTGATCTGAGCGAGGTGAGACCCACTCGGACTTCTGAACTACAGAACTGCAAGATAACAAGTGTGTGCTGCTCTAAGCCATGAAGTTCATGGAAATTAACTGTGGCAGCAACTAATAGACATGGCATTTCTTTCTTTTCAGATCCTCTTCCTGCGGTCCTCATTATCTTCAGGCTAATGGGATTATCAAGAGTACAGAGGCCACAGATTAAGCAGACAGCCTGGGGCAGATAAACCCTCAGCTGGCCCCACCCCCGCGCCCTCCCAGCACAGGGTCGACACGTACTGAACCTGCAGGTGCTGACGTTCTGAATTCCAGACTCTCGGCAAGGGCAGAAGCCTTCATTAGGTGGGTAGGTGGACCCGTTGGCGAACAGGGTTTTGGGAGCCACGAAGCGGTAGGTGGGGATACCTTCAAACTCCCCCGGCTCCTTGTAGGTGAGCTTCATGGACCTGCAGGGGACAGACAAGGTGAGAGGGGACACCCAGACCCGGTGGCCAGAGCCAGGCCCTGCCAAAGGCTGCCCAGATCCGGCCACTTCTCCCCACAGGCGCTGCCACCTCTCGGGTCCAAGCTGCCCCATCTCTTGCCCGGGTAGCTGAAGGGACCTCCTAACTGGCCTCTCTGCTCCGACTCTGCCACCCTACCCACACCCATGTATCAGCCACAGCCAGATGGAGTTTTACCAAAGAACAGAGGCCAGGCACCATGGCTCACACCTGTAATCCCAGCACTTTGGGAGGCCGAGGTGGGAGGGTCACTTGAGCCCAGGAGTTCAAGACCAGCCTGGGCAACATGGTAAGACCCAATCTCTAAAAAAAACTTTTTCGAAAGCTATGAAATTAAAAAAAGAACAGAATACATCATGCCCCTGAAAACTGGTGACCTTTCTAGTCTAACCTACCATTAGGATGCATTGTCCTTATGGAGCTCCTGCCTAGCTCCTGCTCAGCACCCTCCCCCACCTTCCTGGGCCCAAGGCCTCCTTGCGATTCCTAAGCATGCTCCCTCCTGCCCCAGGGCCTTTGCATCAGCTGCTGCCTCTGCCTAAGAACAGTCTTCTCCCACATCTTCATCTATCAGACTTCAGGTCTCAGTTCAGCTGTCACCTCATTAGGTGGCAGCACTGTCCCCCAAACCCACCCCATTCACCCTCCATCCGTTCACTCTCCTGCACTTCCTCAAAAGCACTTCTGAACTTGAACATGCACTGTGCTACCCACTCTGTCCACGGCAGCCACTCCTCACGCGTGGCTGCCCATCCCGCCCTTGACGTGGGGCGAGTCCAAACTGGGATGCAAGTGTAAAATACATCCCAGATTTCTAACACTCACTAGCGAAAAAAACAACCAAAACTCCTCGATAACACTTGAAGTGATTACATTTTTGATATCTGAGGTCAAATAAAATATGTTATTCAAAATAATTTCACCAATTTCTTGTTACTTTCATTAATGCAGCTACTAAAAAATTTTTAACTGCATGTGTGCCTTGCCTATTTTGATTGATTGGAAAGTACCAGCTTAGATAATAGCATTATGTCAATGTCACATTTCCTCATTTTGATAATAGCACTGGGGTTATGTAAGAAAATGTCCTCGTTTCTGGAAAACACCCACTGAGTATTTAGGCATTAAGGGTGCCACGCAGCCTCCAGCCTACTCTCAGATGGTTCAGGAAGGACACCCAGTGACAGGAGGGGGCAGGGGGCATGAGACAGCAAAAGAGACACGGCTGGTACACCTGGGTGAAGGGGAGGCGGGCCGCTTGTACTTCTCATGTAACTCTTCTCTACGTTTAAAATTCAGTTTTTAAAGTCAGCTGGGTATGGTGGCTCACACCTGCAATCCCAGCACTTTGGGAGGCTGGAGCAGGAGGATCCCTTGAGACTAGGATTTCAAGACTAGCCTGGGCAACATAGTGAGACCCCATATGTAAAAAAACAAAATAAATAGGCTGGGCGAGGTGGCTCACACCTGTAATCCCAGCGCTTTGGGAGGCCGAGATGGGCAGATCACGAGGTCAGGAGATCTAGACCAGCCTGGCCAACATGGTGAAACACCATCTCTACTAAAAAAAAATACAAAACTTAGCCAGGCATGGTGGCGTGTACCTGTAGTCCCAGCTACTCAGGAGGCTGATGCAGGAGAATCTCTTGAACCTGGGAGGCAGAAGTTGCAGTGAGCTGAGATTGCACCACTGCACCCTAGCCTGGTGACAGAGCAAGCTGCTGTCTCAGTAAATAAATAAGTAAAAATTTAAAACAGCAAAAAGTGAACACACAGAGCAAAAGCACTGTCACTCTCTGAAACTCTGGTGTTCGTCCATTTGCCTGAGTTGCCCTGATAGGACACAACCTCCTGGGAACGGAGACTTGGCCGACTCTGTCACTACGGGGCACCTGGCACACAGTAGGGTTTTACAGGGTTTGCTGGGAGGGCAGATAAGTCAAGGTCCACATGAGTGGATTCCCAAGTAAAGGACTTTTCCAGAGTGACCGGAATGGAAGACGACACAGCAAGGCCTCCAGAGAAGGCTGCAGGAGCTCCCACTGTCCACTCCGACCCCACAACTGAGACCGTGGGACGCATGCAGGCCTCCCAGGCTGCAGAGCTGAGCCTGAAGCAGCTGAGCAGAGCCAGCCGGTATCTCAGCACCCAGATGGTCACGGGGGCCGCCAGCCAGATGCCAGGGGAAGCCTACCTCTCGCCTGCATTTTCCGGCCCCCAGCGACCCTGACAGGCCCTGCCCCACCCTCCTGGCCTAGCACCACCGGCTCTAAACCACCACCAGCAGCTTCTCTTTGGGCCGTGTGGACGCACTGGCAGCTGGAGTTCGGCTCTCCAATTGGTGCTGCGGCCAGAGAGAATTCAAGATGGTGCCAAGGGTTACTGAGTCAAATCCACGATGAGTCGAAATGCTTCCCAAGTGCACAGCCAGCGCCTCTGGATTTGGCCATGAGCTGTGCCGGAAGCCCAGAAGCCCCATGTCCCAGCGATTACCGGCAGGCCTCGGGGCTGTAGAACTCCAGCGAGGACTCAGGAGTCATGAAGGGCGGCCACATTTGCCCCGAAGTTCCATTGATCATGTTGCACTGATCGGAGTGCCAGAAGGCAACCTGTGGGAAGCATCGGACGGGCGCCTCAGTAGGGCCAAGGCCCCTTAATAAGCCCTCTCAGGTGCCACAAATCCTGCTTGCCCTGGTGTGGACATGGCCACTCAATTCCCAATACTGGCATGGTGGGAAGAGGGCAGGCTGTGTAGACAGACAGAGAGAACTCCAACCACAGCTGCCCACCCCCAGACCCCTGAATGTGGAACTTGGCTAGGGACTCAGTTCTTTCATCTGCAGGATGGGCCTATCACCCGTATCTCCAGCCTGAATCTGGCAAGAGGCATGGTGAACAGGTAAGGTGAGAGGTGGGGCACAGCTGTGCTCAGCCCTCAGCGTGGACGTCAACAGGCACCTCCTAAAAACAGATAGGGTTAGAAATTGGCAAACTACTGAAAATCATAATGGTGGCCACCACTGGGCACCCCAAAGCAGAACCCATCAGGTAAACTGCCTCTGGGCAGCGAGACAAAACCCACTGCTCCCTTTCCGATCCTCCTACCATGAGAATGTTTGAAACCACGAGCACACGTGGTACGCTGAAATATACAAGCCACGATGAACGTGACCTCTAGCCACGATGCATGGGTGCCGCCAGCTGCAGGTGGTGATTTTTGCCACTCTGGGCACTGGTTGGGGTCCATTTTGTCCCAGCCCTCAGGGTCTTTGCAGTAAGTGCCATGGGGAGCAGGTAGTGGGTACCTGCACGGCCATTTTCACACCCATTCAGAAAAGGTCACAAAGGTGAAAAGAGCAAGTTGCAAAACACTGCACGTAGCACGATTTCACGAGGTGCAAAGAAGAAAAAATGCCGCATTTCTCCGTGTACACACAGGCGCGCCCAGGGATAAAAACGGACGGGAAGAACAGATCCCAAACTGCTGACTGTGGGTCTCCTCTGGGGCGAGGGGTTGGGGTCGGAGGTGATACTAAGGGCACTTCTCTCTCTCTCGTTTTATTTTGTTACGTGAATGTCTTCTGTGTTCTAGTGTAATATTTCAAAACGTTTTGTAAGAAAAGAATCGAAAGGAGGAAAGAGCTCCATCCCCAGCAGACACCAGGTCTCAGTGAGCAGTCACTAACACTAACCCTGCCTGCCCCTCTGGCTGGTCAAGCTTTACCCAGAGGTAAACTCCCTCCTCCAACTCCAAGAGTGTTCATCCTCCCAGCACCCTCTTCATGACAAAGGAAGAAGGGGCCCTGTGGTCCCTGCCATTCCCGTGCAGCCACGGCCCGGCCCACCCTCCCCTCTCCCCTGTCCCCGGCGACAGGGGCCCTCGCCTCTCGCCCCTCACCTTGCTCAGCCCGTTCCACTTGTCCACAAGGTGGATCCTGCTGATGTTCTGGACCCCCGTGAACACCGTGAAGAGCCCAGAGTTGGAGTTGTTGAGCTGCAGGCACAGCAGGACAGCATGGTTAAGGCTCGGGCCCGCCGTTGAGCTGGCCTGGTCTGACATCCTAGGCTGAGCTCTCCTCCCCTCCCCCAGAAGGACAGAGCCCCTGGCATCCAGTCCACTGCCACAGGCCCAGTGTCTGGGGACCGAGAGGAGGCTTGGGGGCTTTCTAGGAGGGACGGTCCTGGGTTCCGGTGGCTGCAGTGTCCCACCCTCCCTTCCCAGCTCCAGGAGAGTCTGGCTTTCCTCCCAGGTGAACGGCGGATCACCCCACCACACCCCACCCCAGCGTAAAATAGAACATGGCCAGGTCAGCTCCCCGAACAATGAAAAAGGAGAAGTGGCATGTCAGCTGGGGGGACGGTTTTAGGACTGTGTACACGCCTCTCACCGGGCCACCAAGGAGGTATGTGTCAAGACGGAGCCTCCCTCGACCTGGGTCCCCAAGTGACCATCACAAGTGAGGCTGCCCCAGTCACCCACACTGGACGTGGAGTGCAAGGAGGCAGTCTTGGCTGTTCTGAGCCACGGAGATTCTGGGGCTACTTGTCACAGCAGCACAGCCTGGCCTGGTCTAACCCATCAGAGTTAATGGAAGTAGGGCCCAGGCTCTGGTGCCCCCAGGGCATCTCCCAGAAGCTGGTTTCTAATCCCAAGGACATGCAAAGCACAAAATGGTATGAGTGACTGGAAGGAAAGATCTAGAAGTGCTGTGCAGGGCGGAGCACACTGAGGCGCTCCACCAGGGTCAACCGGCCGAGGGGCTGCCCACATCACAGACCTTCCAGACAGGACCCAGCACGGGGCCCCGGCTCGGCCTCCCTTGTGTCTCTGTCACCTGCCCACGTGGAGTCACTACAAAGAGGAGCAGTAAGGGGGCTTATGTGCAGAAGGGTGGGGGGCGGTGCCGGACACAAGAAGCGCTCAAAATGCTAGTCTCTATTTTCATTATTATTGTTATTGTTAACAAATGCTGGCCGGGCAAGGTGGCTCACGCCTGTAGTCTCAGCACTTTGGGAGGGCGAGGAGGGTGGATCACAAGGTCAGGAGCTCGAGACCAGCCTGACCAATATGGTGAAACCCTGTCTGTACTAAAAATAGAAAAAATTAGCCAAGGTGGTGGCAGGTGCCTCTAGTCCCAGCTACTCAGGAGGCTGAGGCAAAAGCACAGCTTGAACCCGGGAGGCAGAGGTGGCAGTGAGCCAAGATCACGCCACTGCACTCCAGCCTGGGCGACAGACTGAGACTACACCTCAAAAATAAAAAATAAAAAAATAAATGCTCACCCACCAGGATCCTTAAATGATCATTATGAACACAGGGCATCAGAAACTGCCAGTTACTACCCAAAGTCCACTCTCTCCTTTCTCCTTCATAACAAAGCCCAAGCCATACTCACAGTAGCAGCACACCCACCAAAAAGGCTACCCCATTTTCAGCTTCCCCTGGAGCTAGGTATGGCCACGTGGCTCCGTTCTGGCCAATAGAAACTCAGTGGGCGTTGGTTTTCTCCCTCCCTAAGAAGGAGGCAGCTGGGACATGCTGTTTTAGCCTCAGTTCCTCCATCTGCTCCCCAAAGCCCCACCGCTTCCTTCCTGCTGTGCTGCCTGGAATGTGATGTGATAGCTGGCACTCCAGCAGCCAACTTGGACGATGAGGTTATCTTGAAGATGAAAACTCCATGCCAAGCACAGCAGAGCAGAGTAGTAGAAGACTTCCAGATCACTTAAGACCATGAAGCCACCACGCTAATGCTGAACAATCTACCGCTAGACTGTTCTTGTGAGGTTTTCATTACAGGCAGTCAAACGTAGATTATACTAAACTAAATCTACTAAATGTAGATTCTACTAAACTAGTGACTTTATAATAACTTTCATTTGCAAAGCACTTCAGGATTTACAAGATGCTTTTATAGAATCATGCCTCTTACCCCAAACTTGCCAATTTACCCACATGACAGGAGCCCATCACCTTTGACATAAATGTACTGAGCATATATCACGTGCAGCACCACAATATACCCCCCAGCACTCTACCCTGACCAGCAGAGGCCAACGAGATGGCTGAGGCTGGAGCAGTCCCGAGGACTCACTGAAACCTGCAGTGAGGGAGCCAAGGTCAGGGTCAGACCCTACAGGGACGAGATGTTGTCTCAGAAGCCCAATCAGTGACCCTGCCAGGTTGTCAGGAGTCAAGATTAAGAGTCGGCTTGTGATCTGACTCCGCAGCAGTCATGCCCGCTTCTTCCAGCGAAGCCTCCAATTTGCTAAGGTAAGGCCCAGTCATATCATTTGAGCCTGGATCAAGCTGTACCTGAATCCACTCCTAGCATTTTCAGTTCTATGAGCCCCAACATTCCCCATTTCACTTAAGCCAGTGTGAGTCAGGCTCTCTGCCACTTACAACCCCCAGCCCCTACACCCCCAGCCAGCTACAAGGCGAGCTGGTGACTGGTGTCAGGCTGTGTTGGGGAAGACAGGACACAGGCCTGAAATTTTGGCTTTCTCAGCAGGCCACACGTACCTCAGCGAATAACCCGAACTTATCCTTGAAGGGGAAGGTGCCGGGAAAGTACTTGTTGATGAGGTTCACGAGCGGGTCGCTGTAGCCCCACATGATCTCCCCCACAGTACGGTTCATGAAGGCACGCTCGCCGAGGGTGCTGAACGCCAAGGTCATGATGAACTTCAGGCTCATGGGCTTGTCCTCCATCATCACCGCCGCACCCTGCAAGGCCAAGGGATACGTGTCAGAGGCTGGACATGGCTGGCCCATCCTCCCACAGCCCCTGCTAGGCCTCACGGCAAAGAGTCCATGAAAGGAAATGTTGGGGTACAGGAGACCCCTGGAGTGACCTTGTGGGGCGTCTGGGACACCAGAACCCCACTGCTCCTCCAGTCCCAGGACCACGTGCTCCCGAGAGCCCCTTCTCCCCCATGCACCCCACAGGACTCAGGCCAAGTGAACTCCAGCCCCAGTCCCAGAGGCAGGCATGTGGCTCAGTCCCCAGCAAGACAGCTCCTTTTGGAGATCTCAGAAGCATAAATTGAAAAGGAAAAAAAAAAAAAAAAAAACTTCGGCCAGGACCTCCAAACCAGAGACAGCTGGACCCACCTGGGAACCTCGGAACCCACCAGGGGTGGTAGAGACAGCACGGGGCCAAGAGCCACGCACAGGCGTGAGTCCTCACACTCCGACCACCTTGGGGAATGCTCTCTGTGCGAGGGGCAGGTGGGAGGAGATTCAGGGGACGAGGCCAGGGGACGAGGCGGCGGGGGCCACGGGGCAGCCTCACCAGGACCAGGATGTTGGGCATGACGATGTAATCGCTCTCCGAGCCGTGGGACATGGAGGGCTGGAACTGGAAGGTACGGTACTCGAGAAAGGACACGGTGTCGTTGTCGTTGAAGGTGATGTTAGTCTTGTGCCTGAACTCCCTGTAGGGGAAGCAGTGGGTCAGATGCCCTGGCCACCACTGCGTGGGACAGGCCTCTGTGCACACCTCCCACCCCACAGCCAAAGCCGAGCTCAGCCCCTCTGCCAGGCCTGTCCCTCCCCCGCCTGCCCACTGTGGGACGCGGTGCCGCCACCCAACTGGCCTCGTTCCACGCTTCCTTACCCAGCACAGTCATCACCTCTCCACCTACAAAATGGAGTAATTGCTGGGCTGGGTGGCTCGTGCTTGTAATCCCAGCACTCTGGGAGGCCGAGGTGGACGAATCACGAGGTCAGGAGTTCGAGAGCCTGGCCCACAGAGTGAAACCCCATCTCTACTAAAAAATGCAAAAAATTAACCAGGCGTGCTGGCGGGAGCCTGTAATCCCAGCTACTCGGGAGGCTGTGGCAGGAGAATCACCTGAACCCGGGAGGAAGAGGCTGCAGTGAGCCAAGTTCGCACCGCTGCACTCCAGTCCAGGCAACAGTGCGAGACTTCGTCTCAAAAAACATTAAAAAAAAAAAAAAATGGAGTAATCACAAGCCCCACTTCAGGGGGTGGCTGTGGGGATTAAACAATCAGACACACCTAAAGCAGCCAACGCAGCCTGGGCACAGAGAAAGCACGAGGCAAACATCAGCGGCGTGACTGTCGCTGCTGCCATCATTATGATCTCCCACCTCTGCAAGCCATTCTCCACCATCCAGAAGAATCTTTAAAAAGTAGGAATCAGGCCGGGCGTGGCGGCTCACGCCTGTAATCCCAGCACTTTGGGAGGCTGACCTGAGGTCAGGAGTTCAAGACCATCCTGGCCAACTTGGTGAAACCCTGTCTCTACCAAAAACACAAAAATTAGCCGAGTGTGGTGGCGCGTGCCTATAATCCCAGCTACTCGGGAGGCTGAGGCAGGAGAATTGCTTGAACCCAGGAGGCGGAGGTTGCAGTGAGCTGAGATCACACCACTGCACTCCAGCCTGGGTAACAGAACAATATTCTGTCTCAAAAAAAAAAGAAAAAAAAGAAAGTGGAAATCAGACCATGCCGTGCTCTGGACCACAAGCCCACTTGCATGCAGGTTAAAATCAGGCTCCTAACTCGGCCTCTGAGGCCCTCAGCAAGGCTCAGGCCTCGTCTCTCCACTGCCTCCTTCCCTCGTAAACCCAGACACACAGGGCTTTGTTCCTGGCCTTCAGGCCTTTGCATGCGCTCTGCCCGGGACTCCCTCTCCAGGGCCTCTTCCCACCATCCGGGTGCAGGCAGCGTCCCTTTGCAGAGCTGCTCCCACCCCTCCAGGCAGACCGAGCTCCCTCCTGCCCTCCGGCTGCACACTGTTTGCTCTGCACAGCACGGCTGCCTGACTTCCCCTGACTGGTCCACTCATTTACTCTCCCCATCAGAACATCAGCTCGGTGAGGCAGGGCTTGGTCTGCCTGCGCCCGGCACACAAGAGGTACTCGGTCAGTGCTCACAGAGTGAAGGAGTATACAGAGCCTGGGCATTTATGTCCATTCTGTCCTCTGCTGGGTCCCCTTTGCTTAGAACAGCAGCCAACACCTAGTAGGTGCTCAATAAACATTTGTTAAATGAATGAGTGAATGGGTGAATGAACGAGTGAATGCGTGAATGAACGAGTGAATGCGTGAATGAACGAGTGAATGGGTGAATGAATGAGTGAATGGGTGAATGAATGAGTGAATGCGTGAATGAGTGAAGTGAATGGGTGAATGAGTGAATGGGTGAATGAGTGAATGGGTGAATGCAGCAGCTGACTCATGTTTCTGACTCCCAAGCCTCAGGTACATTGGCCGGCTTTTCATCCTGGCTTTCGCAGAACCAAACTGTGCGCCTCCACCAGCGGGAACATGCTCTGCCCAACCCACCCCTGGAACACCGTGTGC